TCGGAGCCCGCCGCGACTCCCCTCCGCCCCGCCCCGCAGCGCCGTTGGCGGTCACCGCTGCTCCCTGCCGGAGTTGTCCTCGTCGCCGATAGCGAGGACGGTGGGGCCGTGTCCCGCCGCCGCTGTGTCGCGTAGGCCGCCTTAGACCCGCGGGAAGGTCTGAAGCAGGAGCCTGCGCGGCGGGAAACGGGAAGACATGGCGCGCGGGGTGGGGTGAGCTTCACATTTGAAGGGGCGTAGACCGCTTAAAAATCACTGTCGCAAGTTTACAAGTTTAAAAGACGCAGTGACTTTTTTTGACGTTGTGTTCGCTTCAGTTGTCGGTGGCGATCCGTATTTGTTACATTTAAAAAATTTCATCGGTTCAGCTCCGTTTTGCTTGTTTATGTATTGGTTGTTCACCAAATACAGCAAAAGTGGAGGAAGGAAAAATCCAGTTGCATTGTAGGCCTCCTGGCACACGCGATGAAGCAGAAAAAACTGAAACACACTTATTTGATTGGGGTTAAATTTGAAGTTGATAGTATACCTCTGAGACCTCGCTTACACAGAATCACAGTGGCTTTGTCTGCGCTGGTAGTCAGGGCAATAACCTGCTTTTCTTTCCAACTGAACAAGTGTGCATTTCCATATGTTCCTCCTTAAGGTCAAAGTCTCACTAGGTGTAAACCAGACCTACATTTGATATGTGTGTCAATCCCGTGGTGTCCTTGTAGCATAGATTACAAGGCTTGCCTTCTACCAGCCAGCATGTTTGAGTTTTTCTTGCTAGGATCTTGACATCGGTACTTTGTGTTTGTGAAGGATTGGCTTAAAGCTGGAACACGCCTTGCATGTTTTCAGCTGAGGGAGTAGGAGCATTGCATTCACATTGTTAATTATAAGGGACAGTTTGTTCTCTTGTTCTTTGCATTGTTAACAATTTTAGTCCTTCTTATTTCTGAAATTATTAATTGGCTTTATGATTAGTGGTGAGCAACACAGTGCCAGATGGAGGCTGGTGAGAGAGGGAGTGGCTACTGAACAAAAGTTCTGCCTAGAACTGCTTCATTGTCAAGTAAATCAACTGTTAACGCATCTGTGTTTTAAGTGAGAGATGGCCTTGTTAGAGTATCAGGGTCTTGATGTGCCTTTCAACTTGTGAACTACCTTTCAACTGTTTTCTTTTTTTCTTTCTGTTTTTTTTTCCCCTTAATGTTTTTAAACAGGTTATGTTTAGAAGAGAGAAAGTTTCTACCGTGTACTTCTGTGGTGTCCAAGCAGCTCATCTATTGATACTTCCTTTGTAACTCCATGGTTAAACAGCTTCTGAGAGCATCGGTTTGGTTACCACATCCAGAGGTCACTTGTAAGAAAATGTGGACTGCTAAAAGTCTTTGTAGTGCTCAAATACTGTTCCTTCGGTTGAACAAAGGCAGATTGTGTAGTTGCATGTTTCCAAAAACTGAGCAGTTCTGGACTGGAATTCTAGACTATTGCACCATAAAAGCACTACATAACAGAGTTAAATTCCAGGTAAGTATTTTTGTGGTGCTGTAAGTATAAGTGATATACATCAATATGGTGATAATACAATTTCTTTTAGAATCTACAGAGCTAAGCTTTTGATCTTGCAGCCTTATTGATGAGTTGAAGATGCCTATTAAGTTAAAGGGGCAGGCAGCAAGAAGTTCCAGGAGAACCGGTGTTTCAGAATGAACATTTTGTGTCTGATAGTTCTAAGTTGGGGAGAAACATCATTTTTTTTCAAATTATACTTCAGGCAATACTGCATGATAACTAACAGGCGTATTAGTTAGAGTGACATCTGCTTAGTGAATAATAGGACCAGAGTTCTCTGGCAAACGTTTTAATAATGCAATATTGCATGAAAAAAGAGGGGGGGAAATCAATTTTTATCAGATTGGTAAGGTCTGTCGGTGACCAGACAATAGTGGGAAAGGACATAAAATTAAGGCTAATCTTGGACACTGGCAGTTCCAAATGGCAGTATTTTTCTCGACATCTAATTAAGTTCATCTTTAAAATATAAATTGCTGCATGCACTTTATAAACACTAGAACATTGTGGTTTCAGCTAATTTGGGGGGGGGGCTAAGCAATTCAGAAATTAATCTAGATGGTTTTGCAGCTATTTTGATTGACTTTATTAATCTGTTTAAGGATAAATAATGTTCACCTCATATTTGCCTCTTGTTTCTCTTTAAAATAGTAATATTTGACTGATTTTAGGTTTCTAAGGTAAATGATAAACGATTGGTAGTAGATACAAGAATGGCTACTAGTGCAGAGGGAACTAAAACAGCTGCTGGAAAAAGTCCAAGTGGAGTATGTGATGGAAGCCAACATTCATTAGAAGGTATTGAACCTTTTGCCACCCTCTTCTTCAGAAGTCAGCCTTCCCTGTCCTCTCTAGGCATCTTGTGTTAATGATCAAGATGGTCTAAACTCCTAATTTGAAAGTTTTGTATCATGTGTTGTGTTTATTTTTTAGTTTTATGGGCATTATACGCAATTTTTATAGTTTGCGAAGACTCATGTGATTTTCCTAAGTGTCTTAATGGCTGACTGGATTGTGTACTGATTATTTTGTATTATTATTTTAATTTTTTTTTCTTCAACTTCATCAAACTCTTAAAATGCTTATTCTGTGTGACTGGATAGATGCAAAACTTAGTTTTCTTATTCCCTTGCTAGCAACTGTGGTGACTTTTAAGTAGAGTACAGACTATTGGATGGGTTATTGTTTTGTGTGAGCCTTTTTTTGACTGGGAGAATCAATTTCTTGAATAGTCACTGAATGCTATGAATGGTCTGTGATGCTAGTGAACTTTTTTTTCCTGTTATAAATGTGAAAAAATGAACATTCCTGTGTGAGTGGTTATTTCTGCTTCAGGTAAATTAGTCGTTACAATTATGACCTTTATTTTAGCCAGGTTGCCCACCTAAACAATTCTTTCCATAACTTTGCTTGTTTTGTCATTCCTACCTAATAACTAATCCTGCAATGTGCTGTTACGCATCATACATTTTAGCTCCTGTGCTTCAGGGTGCTTGGTCATTCCCATTCTATGTATATTTAATTTTTGTTTGTAAAGGTTTTTTAGTCAGTTGCCTTGGGCATTTGCAGCTTTTGTTTACAAATGGGATGACAGGGAGGTAGTTATGACTGGTTAAGACACTAAGACTGTATACTCTTTATATGATTATATTGCTCAGGAAATAGCAATATGAGAAACTGTTGTGCTATTTCTTGTGTATGACAATTAGGAAGACAGTACCTATCCTGAAAAAGCTATACTGTAATATAATTCTGCTGTGCAGGCTTGTCTCCTTACATACGTTCTCTTGTAAGTTTGTATTACAAACAGATGAGAAACTGCTGAGTAAACAGGCCCCCTCCCCCACTTCCCCTCAGTATATTTTTTAATCACCAGTGAATTTTTTTTTTTAATCTACAGATGCAAGAATCTTTTGAATAGAACTCTTAGGTTTACGTTTACTCCTGAATGCTCCTGCACTACCTGTAAAATAATAAGTTTGAACAGCCCCAGTGTTCTTCCAGTTTCTTCTTGTACTTTTCTTATGCTTCTTTTTTTTCTTGTAGACAAAGGAAGCATACCTGTCCCCTTAGCCAGTGAAAATCTTTATATTTTGAAATTTGCCGATCATCTAAGATGGCAGCATTTTTGAAAAGCAGTGTCAAAAGCATTTGCTGTGTCCTATTTACCTCATATTGCTACAGCGTGTCAGCTGAAATGTACTTGTGCATCTTTTAAGGTTCACTGAAATTTTTTCTTAACACATGCCAATATGATAACTTTGAGTTAATAGATAATATCTTTAACCGTCAGAACTTACATTAAAGCCTTCTAAGAATACTTGATTTGAAGTCTTGTGGAACAAGTGTTTCCTACTATTTCTAAGATAACAGGATTTCTGCAAACAGCGGAAATGGAGAAAAAAGTGGTCTATGTCCAGATGTGACTCTGCTCCTATTTCTGGTACTCTGTAAGGAATTGGCAGGGAAAAGTCATACTGTAGACTTAATTGAGTTTCTCTGTATGTCCTCTTGGGAGTTGTTATAACCCTACTATTCTTTTTGATCAAAAGAGCAGTCATCTACCAGATCATCAAAGCAAAAGACATTTTTGAATCATACTGTCTCTGAAATACACCGTTCTAACTTGCAAATTAAGTGTTGCCATGACATATTTGCAAGAATCAAAAGAAATGGGAAAGCTTATATTCTTATAAAAGTGAGTATCTTGCTTTCCTATTTCTTGCTTTTTTGATTTTATGGGACATTCATCTAATGAATGCTTTCTTATCTTTTCCTTGTAATCAGAGATTCCTTTGCAAGGCAAAATGACATTGCTTATTTGCATCCATCAAGCAGACAGTTCCTTATAGAATAATGATTCTTACTCATCTGTATCATCTCTGTAGGTTAAGTGCTTTATTATGGATTTGTTGTAAAGAGGCCTTCAATTCAATGTACAGAACCTCCCCACAGGTAGATGCATAATGCTGAATGAAGATGTTAATGTTCTGTTGTTTCTTCTCTATAATGCTGATTATTTTACTGTAGTGATTTTTAATATTCTGAACAAATGAAAGAAGACCTGATTGTTACACCGGGCAACAGGTGTTGGCTATCACTTAGGAGCTAAACATTACATGATTTTTCAATTAACAAGTGGATAAAGCCCTGAGCAACCTGATTTGATCCGATAGCTGACCATGTTGGGCAAGAGACTTCCTGAATTATTCTGTGATTCAATGATTTTTTTTTCTCTCATTATTTACCCACTTGTAGGGTTGTTACATGTATATGCAGACCCCATTTCTCAGTCACGCAGCTATAGATGTATCCACTGGATCTGTCGTTTGAACCTGAATGTCACCTGCCAATGAACATTTGTACTGAAGTATTTTTAAATTTCGTGTGTATGTGACAGTACGTAATATAGACCTGGGAACTGACCCTAATTAATAAAAATGTAGTGATTTGACAACACAGACATGCTGCTGCTACTTTTGATTTTAAGTTCTCTTGGGGAATCTGTAAAACAGTGCTGTATTGCATGCCATACAAATCCAGTGGATCGAGTACTTCTGTTTTAAAAAAAAAAGTTATTTTTAATTGCTTTTTTTTTGGCTGCATTAATTTCATTTTTTTGGACTTGCAGTTAGTCTACTTTTAACAGTGTGAGACTAGCAGCATTCTTTAACAGTATGCCTTTACTTGAAATTTTAGTGTTCTTTTTTCTTTTTGCATGTTTGTGTCTCCCTGAATCCTTTTGTCAGTCAAGAGACTGATGTGATTAATAATCTCTGTCTAGGGTAGGGGAATGAAGAAGTTAGAGAAGTATGGGATCTAAGTGTTAAGAAATTAACTCTCATCAAAGAGTGAATGCCATGTATCAGAACAGTGGTTACTTACAATAACTGATAATTAGATAGGACTAAAGCTCATGTAAGAACATAAAACTTCCTCATGAAGCCTTGAGAAGAGGCATGGAAGCACTACATACTTTAGTCAGTATATTTTCAGTAGGTTTTCATCTGAGATTCGAATAACCTCTTCATTTCACAGAGTCTCCTTTTCTGTTCTTCTCACTTTAGAGAAAATGTACCAGCCAATTCTTCATACATTGAAGTGTAGTTGTCTTCTACATTTGTAGGGATTTTTTTTTTCTTTTTAAAAAAATCCTTTAATCTAAAATTTCTTGCTGTAACTATGCCTTAGGTACTTTCTTTAGTTTTCATCTTTTTTGATTTGTAAATGTCTAAATATTTTCCAGCCAGCAGAGATACCTTTTCGAATGCTTTTTAGATGAGCCTAGTAAAAGGTTTAGAAGATGTATATATACATTTACATAAGCATAGGTATGCTTGTTTTTATTTAAATAAGCTTATTACCTTACACTTGTGTTTCTTATATTTCAAAGGTGCCTTAGATGTTATTCTTGGGATTTGTGAACTCTTACTTTGCTTGTTTATTTTCTGATCAATCAATTATGTAAGCGTGATCCTTATTTCATACGAAGTTTCACGTTAGTAGTGCCTTAGAACCTGAAACCTCTTTTGGATAAAAATGGGAGTTCTTCCATGCTTGCTTTTTTTCCTACTTAATAATGCAGTTGCTTTAACTAACTTCATCTTTTTGTCAGTGGCCCATGATGCGAATGCATCTTTGCTCCTAATTTGTAGAAGGCAGGGAAGCAGCTGCAGCAGTTGGTTAAACTGCTGAGAGTTTAACTGGTCTGAAAGCAAGCACATCATGGGATCATACTTCAAAGTCTATTTTAGTATTTTTTTTCCGTCCTACTGAAAAACTTACTTCAAAGTAGAATTATGTTTGTTATTTTCCAGTAAAATCTTGAGTAAACTTTTTTTATCTTCTATGCAGTACAGTGATTTTTGTTTAAATTAAAAGATCCTTTCTTTTTAAAAGCAGTAATATGAATTATCATTTGCTTCATTGCAAATGCCTTTCTCTCATACTGTCCTCACCTTTCCTGCTCTTCTCATTTCCGAGCTGAAGAGGCAACTTAAACCAAAATATGTTGCTCTACATGTTTGCCTCTCTTCACCAGAACTGACACCGCAGTGTCTGTGGATGATTTCCAAAAGAAACATCTCATCATCTATGTCATTACAAACCATAAAAATCTAGTCCTGATATACTGATTGATTTCTTTTAGTCCCATTCATATTGATGCATACCCAAAAATACTAGGAGTTTATTTTTATTCAATACTAAGATAATCTGTATGATACCTTGTATGTCTGTACCATATAAGCTGTGGAATAGTTTCCTCTCATAATTGTAGTTATTTGCAGGAACAGAAGAGCTAATAAAATGTGTAGTGCTTTTTTTTTTTTTAAATAAACCACCCCTAAAGACCTAAACTTGTGCTTCCTGCTTGTGTGTTCTGTTAGATTTACATTCTATCCTTGATGCCTTCAGAGTGTGTGTGCGTGCGTGTTTTCATACATTTAGTGTTTGGTATTTTACTTTGGTGGGGTTTTTTATTTCATCTTATTTTAATAATAGCAACAATATGTTGTGTGTTTTTCTTTTTTAAGTAAGAATTTGTCTATTAATGATTACTAATAATACTAGTAAGCAAATGAGTTTCAAAGGTGAAGAAAAAAATTGCCTTCTTAGAGGGTTATCTTGGGTTCAAGGCTGTGTGTGTAAGGGGAGTAACCAGCAGTTTTATAAATAATTTGATTTTTACTGTAGGTGGCTAACAGTCTTTGCTCCCCAACAGCACTCGCTACTTTTATTTTGTATTTCTTTGACAAATTAGATTAAAATGTGCAGTTACATTGTGTATATATAGAGATATATAGCTATATATTTCTTGATTGAAAAAGGGATTTGTGGTAAGGAGTATTTTAGAGTTGCTTTCAATTTTGGGGATGCTAGACTAATTGCTACTTGTTTGATATATTTGGTAATCAAAAGTTTTTACTGTTCTTAAGTAAACTGTTTTTTGCTATATATATAAATATATATGTAGTATATTATGTGTTCCGTGCCAAAAAAATAGTTGTATATTATAAAATAAAACTAAGTGATCCTTTTTCTGACTCTGAAATTTTATTTCCACAGCAAAAATGAAACATATCAATCTGTCATTTGCAGCTTGTGGCTTTCTGGGTATTTACCACTTGGGGGCAGCAGCTGCTTTTTACAGGCATGGTAAGAAGTTACTGAAAGTTGTGAAAGCTTTTGCGGGAGCTTCTGCGGGATCGCTGGCTGCCACTGTCTTATTAGCAGTACCAGAAAATATAGAGGTAAATTAATAAACTCATAGGTATAGGACATGATCATTTTCAAAGGATATTTTTGATATAATCATCTACCATAACGCTTTTAAAAATATTTTGGTTCTTGTTTTTCTTCTTACTTCTTGTAAAGGAATAGGACTTGTGTATGTGTTTTCATTAACAAAATCTGTGACTTGTGGGCAGAAATGTTTATGGAGCAAGCATATCTATATGACAAAAGTCTGTCATATGAATTTTATATTTTAAGCTATGTAAATATAAATTTCATGTGTGTGAATGTGAGCTGTACACAACTAGACACACTTTAATGTACTGAAATGTATATGTGCTTAATCACTGTACGTTACAAAGTTGTTAATCGTTTTCTTGTCTAGAGGTAGGCTTTATTATGCAAATGCATAGCACCATCCTTTCTTCCTTTTGTGAAAGGAGGTGAAAATGGTAGATGGACTGTATCTTCATAAAGTCGAAGAACACCACATACTGGTTCAAATTTTTTCCTTGCTGTGTGCGCTCCATTAGACAGCACAAGACGTGACTTGTGCACCTCCTTTAGGCTCAGTACAGTTCCTGACTTAGCAGCAGTAACTCCACTGTATGCCAGGGAGGATTAACCCTCACAGAGTTCTGTTCTGCTCTGACATGCTGCATACGTGTATGTTTGGGTTTTTTCTCCAGAGATGCTACATTTTTCTCACCATGGATATGGTGTCTTGCAGAGACAGCAAAGTGATATTCAATGACTACTCTATTACAGGTTCTGTGGGAGAATATTGGCTTTTCTTTGTTTGCTTTTCCCATTAGGTTAAGGCTGTTTTGCCCTCCTGAAGTGCCTATAGTAACTTTGCCTTAAAATATGTAGAGGAGTAGGCCTTGCCAAAATCATAGAATCGTAGACTAGTTTGGGTTGGAAGGGACCTTTAAAGGTCATCTAGTTCAGCCCTCCAAAATGTTAGTATTTCTTCAATATTTTGAATTATAATAAACAGCCTTTTTGAAGGGGAGGGAGGGGGAAGGCTGTGATATTTTTGTTCTAAGTACACTTAAGTTTCAGTCCAGTGAACATGAAGTAGCTTTCTCTGGGCCTCGCTTGTTAGAACTTTCACTGCATTTGATTCAAAGAATAGTCACAGCCAATATTACACTTTGCTGTTTGTTTCTGCTGTGATATGAACTTAGCTTGCAGTGAGCTATACTTCTGTTGCTTTCAGCTGTAAGTTTTTCCCTGGCCTCTTTCCACCCCCACCTCCCCTAGGTGCATTCTATATATGATTTGGTATTAGGAAAATTCCACTCTGCTGTGAAGAGAACCTTACTTGTATTCTGTTCAGGTGTTACTCCTTTTCTGTACCCTCTCTAACTAACTAACTCAGTAGTTCAAGTTTACCTGGTATAATGCATACCTTTGACTTTAATTTCCTCTATGGTGAGCACAGCAGCTAGCCTTTTCTTAGACCAAAGAAATTTTTCTGCTTATTCTCGGCTCTGAGTATGAGAATTTGTTCCCAGCCTGGTTGTCGTGGTTTAGCTCCAGCCGGCAACTAAGCCCCATGCAGCTGCTCGCTCACGCCCCCACGATGGGATGAGGGAGAGAATCAGAAGAGTAAAAGTGAGGAAACTCATGGGCTGAGATAAAGACAGTTTAATAAGTAAAGCAAAAGCCGTGCACGCAAGCAAAGCAAAACAGGGAATTCATTCACTACTCCCCATGGGCAGGCAGGTGTTCAGCCATCTCCAGGGAAGCAGGGCTCCATCATGCGTAATGATTTCTTGGGAAGACAGATGCCGTAACTCTGAATGTCCGTCCACCCCTTCCTCCTTCGTTGTCCCAGCTTTATATACTGAGCATGACGTTATATGGTATGGAATAGCCCTTTGGCCAGCCTGGGTCAGCTGTCCCAGCTGTGTCCCCTCCCAACTTCCTGTGCACCCCAAGCCTTCTTGCTGGCAGGCCAGCAGGAGAAGCTGGGCTGTCCTTGACTGCTCAGCAACAGCTCAAAACATCAGCACGTTATCAACATTTTCTCATCCCAAATCCAAAACATAGCCTCACACTGGCTTCTGTGAAAAAAACTAACTCTACCCTGGCTGAAACCAGGACACTGGTCCAACTTACAAAAATGTTTCTAAGTAAATACGTTAGAATAGTTTTTATTTTTTATGTTCGTGGAAACTAAGCCTGTATTACATTGAGTCTGATGGATTTTTTTCTTGAAAGTACATCATTTTGATACAAACTGAGGAATGTTTCATAAACTTTTTAGTCCTTTTAATTTATTATTTACTTTTTAGTCATTCTGTTACATTGTTTAAATAGAAAATTGAGAAGTATTTTGGGGGGGAATAATTCTTAATTCTCATGGGATTTAAATAAAGTCAGTGTTGTGTTCTGAACATAATTAACCTTTCATATCAGGATAATTGTATTATTACCTTTATTACACTTCTAACTTGAAATATTTTATATCCACAAATATAACATCAGTTATTCCCCCCCCCCCACTCCCCAGAGTTGGCTGTGTTAGACAAGCTATAATTAGGACTTTCTCCATCTCCTGGTCTCAAAGCTCTAATACAACCTTTCCTTATTTTGGAGAGAATGTAACATTGAGAATTTCTTGTTTTGACTGTTGCTGTTCTAATATGACAGTTTGCAAATGTTTTTCATTTGTATCTTCAATTTTTGTCACTGTTGAAAAGGCATGGGAGTTGAGAATTCTAAGGAGGCTTGTAGAGTTATAGATAGGTACCTATTTATTTTATAAGTACCTTGATCATGTTTGATGTCAAGTTTGCTTAACCTCAGTACAAGTAGTTACAATTTCTAAACATGTCACTATTTTTAAAATTTAGATGTATTGTTTAACACTTCTAGCACTAAAATTAGAAACAATTCGCATCTGTGAGTTATCCCTTCTGGCAGCAAGAATTGAGAATCTAGGTACAGTCTATTCTTAGTACTTGTAATATGGAAAGTAGTTTTCTGTCATTCACCTAGGTTTGGATTCATCCACCTCCCTGTTACTCCTGGCTCTCTGTCACTTTATTAAGCATCTTAGATAGAAGCACCTGAGAACTATTATGTTTATATGTAGGGTTTTGTGGGTTTCTTCTCTATTGAGAGAGAGATGTCTGAATGTGCCTCTTCCCAGGTGATTGACTACAGAAGAAGCCTAACTGCCTTATGTAGAATGAGTTCAAGATGTGGTGCATAGGAATAGTTTTATATATATGAATTGTCTTGGAACTGGCAATGGCAAGTACCTCCTAGAATAAAAGTGTAAACTGAACCTATGTGAAATGAATTAGCACAAATCTTTACTGTGATTGTTGCTTTAAGAGATATGGATTTCATACATTTATTAGTAGGCCATATATGTGGAGAAGGTGGATGCAAGAACTAGATTTCTGTCTTTCACCCAGGTGACTGCTCTGTTGTACAAGTGATGTGAGGAAGTTAAAACTGCTCCAGACAGCTTGCTCCTGATTTTCTACTAATCCTCACCCCAAGTCTTTCCTCTTTTTCTATCCTGTACTCTCCTCCTCAATAGGACATATTTGCCTTTTTTTTTTTTTTTTCCCCCTTTCCCCAGTCACTTGTTTTGTTGCTAGCAATTTATTTGTTCTTCATGCAGGAAGCTAGTATAGCCAGGAACCCAGAACTATCTGTAAACAGATCTTTTATTCTGTAAACGTGTGGTTAAATAGTTATATATGGGTATAATATATTTATTGAGTACCAATTTCAGAAAGCTGCATAAGATTGGATTTAGTTTTTTCCCAGGTCCCTAAAGTCATTAGAAAAGCCTGCATGAAAGGATAAAAAAAAAGGAATAAGAATACTGAATAGTGAGTCTTAAGCATTTAGAATCATAATTCATTGTTTCATAATCTTTTTCCAAAAAATAAATGCTACCTGTTGCTTTACTTTCCTTTTGAGGTCCTTAGGGCTCACACTTCAAGCTATTTTTTTGCAGTTAATGCTAGGCATTTCAGCTTGCATAAAAGATTCCAATTCATGCAGTGGAATCTGTTGCCTGGTTTTCTGCACTTGTCTTTTGTTTCTTTGTCTTCCATCGTAGTATTTCATTCATTAAATACTTCCGTAGCATTTTATTCATTAAATATGTGTATTTGTTAGTAGCATGGTTTTTGCATTAGTGAGAAGAAATTGTAATAATTTTTAAATGCTTATGGACATCTTAAGGTACTTGTGTCTGGTTTTAGTACCGAAGTAGTCTTCAAAATAAAATATGGCTTTACAATTGAAATATAAATGGTTGTTCTTGTAGTGAGATGGTTCAGAAAACTGGTTATTTAGCAGTGGTAATACACAGAAAAATAGCCTTTAACGTGCCTTGATTTTTCAAGTAGCATTCTTGTGAGGGTTTGTTATTATTATTACTAATTTATTTTTTTAAATTAGGGACCTTGTTTTCTTACAAATGAGTTCTTATAAAGGGATCAGCATTTTGCTATGAATATCTTGGTACAAACCAAGAACATATGGGAAGATATTTTAGTCAGATCACTTCAGGATATGGTTTAGCAGGTTTGGTGGTGTTGGGTTGATGGTTGGACTTGATGATCTTAAAGGTCTTTTCCAACCTTATTGATTCTGTGATTATAGTGCTCTCTTGATCAAAGCTTTAGCCACTAGAATGTTTTAGATACTACAGCTGAACGTATTTCCCATACCTAAAACGTCCTTAATGGTGAATATTTTAATTTGCAGAAATGTAAGCAGTTTGCCTATGGATTTGCAGAGGAAGTTAGAAAATTGGACTTCGGTGCTGTAACGCCTGGTTATGATTTTATGAAAACGCTTAGGTACTTAATGCATCTATAAGATCGTTTTTGTGTGAAGCTCTTAAAATGGAGTGTGCCTATTTTTTCTACCCTGGGGGGAGTTCAGCGCTCTTTCTTTCACCCCTAACATATTTGCAAGGTTTCTAAATAATGATGGTGAATAATGTTTAGCATTTTCTTTACCCTAGGGAAGGCATAGAGTCTATTCTTCCTTCTAATGCTCATGAAGTAGCTGAGAACCGGCTCTATGTGTCAGTCACTAACAGCAAAAGTGGGGAAAATCACTTGGTTTCAAGTTTTGCCTCCAGGGAAGACCTCATTAAGGTAATGAAGTTGAATATTACTGCTTTAAATAAAAATGCTTGAGTTTCTTCAAGGCTTAGGAGTATGTTATTAGCTGTACGATGAATCACTGTTTACACTCAAGTAATCGCTTATATTATCAGTGGTGCTATAACCATAATGTAAACAATAGAAGCAGAATTTGATTGTAAGGTTTCACACATGTTGCAAAATTTATTTTGTGTGTGTGTGCTTCCTTAATCTGTTTTTAAAGTACTACCTTGTAGGCAAGGTTTATTTAAAAAGTAACAGGGTAACTAATGGTTACAGTAGATAAGAATAAAATAGAGAGTTTCCTAATTTTGTAACAATTTTCTCAGTCTTTTTGTATCTCTTACTTCACTGGTACCATTTATATTATGTTTCATCACAAAAAAAGTAAAGAAAAAGAAGTTCCTGCCTTTAAAAAAAAAAAAAAATTCCCAACACTTTCTACAAGTCCTTGTGGGGAATAGATACAATGTAATGTTAAGTACCATATATAAACTGTATTTTAACTGTAACGGGAAAGCAGATCTTCTACTGCCCATCTCTTCTTTTTGAATGCCACTTCTTAAATTTGGATCAGAATTGTATACATAAGCTGATACGAAATGGCAGGAGGAATTCAAATGCATGTAAAGCAAATGTTCTTTCTAGTAATTGATTATATCTTAGCGGAGGACATCATAAGGTACAGCAGAATAAATGAGGGAATAGAATAAGAACAAATTCCTTCTTTCCCTATAGTTGTGGATGCTTAGAGTAAATAAGAGCTTATAATTTACACTTAAAGAAAAAAAAATCACACATGTTAACAAAATCCCAAAGTATGCATTGGAATTTTGCCTTTAAAGTAGCATCTGAAAAAATCTTGACTCTGTTATATTTTACATGGTCAGTCCTCAAAATTTGCAGGACTTAATCATGTAAAGATAGTTATGCAAAAATCTTACCTCAAATTATGCAGTGTTATTTCTAGCTATGGTAGCCAGCAGTGACAAGCATGGAGTTTATTATTCAGTAGGTTTATGGTTTTTGCAGTGAAATCTTCTAACCTGAAGACAATTAGAAGATGACCTTGGAAATATATACATTTTATTAATATATTGCAATAGTTATTTCACTGACATAACTGTTTGTTCTATTCTTTTGTTTCATATGCTAGCAGTAGAATGGGTTTGAATAACAGTAATAAAATTAAAAATAATTGTCATTGGAATACATTCATACTGTCTGTTTTTTCAGTGCATCTTGTAATACATGTTGTTGCGTATGCCTTCAGCTATACAACAGTCTGAATGTTGGTGGCTGCCCAGTAGCATGGAGGATAGAACTTGTTAGGCTATATAATTGTGTTCTGCCTCTCCTAGACATGATCTACTATATCTAAGGCATGGATAAAGATACTGCTGGACAGACAGTGCTTTATAACAGCAAAACTTCTGTATCCTCTGCCAGAAATTTTTCAACTTCCATATGCAATTGGTTTCAATGCTTAACAAGCCTTATGGTTACAAAGTTTTTCGTAATGGCTAAACTGAGTATGTGTTGCTACAATTTTAAGCTCATTCTTTCCTTTTGCTGCTCCCAGTGGATGTGGAAAGGTAGTTAATAATCTCCCATCTTGAAATAGTTTTTACATGTGTGAAGACAATAATGACACACCAGCGTTCCTAGACTTGCAGTACTTAAACTGGAGATGAAGGAGAAGAGGGGCATGATTTGTATGTTTGTGAGGGAGCAGGGCACACAACACTTGTATTTAGCTTAGAAAGGTGGGAGCAATGAAGAGTCCACACTGTTTCAGTTAGTGTTACTGAAAGTGTTAGTTCTTCAAACTTGTCCTTCCTCACGTCACCCTTGAGGAGACTTTATAAGGAGGGCCAAACTGCTTTCTTCAGTCTTCTTGAAAAGAATTCACACTTTGCAAGGGTCACCTGGTTTTGACTCTTTTCTTTCATTAAACCTTTTGTCTCCATTTCTCTTAGTTTAGAAAGGCCAAAGTTACTTAATTGGAGTGGAAGGAGAGAGGAGAAAGGGAGTTGGGCAGGGGAAGAAGCTGATGTTGGGAACTTGGAAACCCTGCAGGATGTCACTTTTGGAAATCTGGAGAGGAATGGGTTCAAGGGGGACCTTATCTTACGATTTTGTGAGGGAAAGGCCTGCCTGTTAGAGAAATAGCTACAATTTCACATTTGGAAAATAAGAAGAGAAAGCTTTTATATCTGAGCTCAGGCAAACCTCTGGTGCTTCTCACTGGGAAGAGAAATAGGCAAGAAAAGAGTTCTTGGAGTGAAAATTAAAGCCTTCATATGGAGCCTTAATTTTAAGGAGGAGAGGTGTTTAGTACTGAAAGTAGCTTAATTTTTTGTAAAAATAAATGGAGTTCCACCAAAAAAATCTCAAGGATTTTCTTACATGATCTCTATGGGTTGTCGGTATTGCACCTGATCACCTTTCACATAGTATATACTCCAGTCTGTAATCTGCTTCTGTTCCCAGATTTTTGTCTCATGCTGCCATGCATGCATATTTGCCACATGTAGCCATAGGAGAATTTCTGACATTGCACTTCATCCACACATCTACCCCTTCTCTTTGAAATGCTGTATACTGATTTCATATATATATATATGTATAGGTGGATACATAGGTATAGAGAGATATATATACACACTCCCATAGATATTGCTATGAGTGGATAGAAATTTATGCATGAGTGCATATCTATACATGACAGAAGAGGTGCCCTGTTTTTTAAAAAAAAAAAAAAAAAGTGAGAACTGCTGTTGACAGCAAGGTGGGCTTACGATAGGACAAGTAGTAATTTGTTACTACTTGAATGTATTGAATGCAAAGTATCAATAAAGATACACATGTGAATTTTCAGGCTGTTTATAGTATTTTGGAAATTTTGAATTCTTAGAAGATCTGATTTATTAGCAGAGTAAGCACTATATTAATATGCCAGCAGAATAATTGGGTCAGCTGCTTCTTTGACAATACTCCATATTGCATTTTTTTCAGCATATGTATATTTAGTTTCTTCAAAATCATAGATCTACTTCACATTGCATAAGACTAAGTTCATACTCTTTTGAATCACATTAATCAATGAGTTAATTTGTGATATTTGTTTTGAGAGTTGTCACTGTCAAGTCATTAAAAAAACCCAAATGAATAGTTTTAATCACATTTTGACATACCACAACAAGACGACATTTGAGATTACAATGTTTTTTTGTAAAACTAATATATTGACTGGTTACTGCTATATTATTTGGTGTAGATAAATATATATGAAAATATGTATTGGTTCAGAACTGCTTTGTTGCCTTTTCTTCACTTTTGTTCTCTATTATTTCTTGTTTCTTTTCTCTAGGTCCTGCTAGCAAGTAGTTTTATACCAGTATATGCAGGAATTAAGCCAGTGGAATATAAAGGAGAGGTAATTTTTCATTATTCATGGTAGTTTAACTACCAGCTTTTTTTGTAAGAGCATTCTTCAATTGTGATGTAATTATGTGATCTTAGGGGAAGGGTAGGTAGGAATTGCAGTACTGTATTTTGTAGACTAGCTGTTGTTCCTGTTAATACTGTAGGTTAACATTGTGAAAGATGACATGACTTTGTTCATGTGTTGTTTCAAAAACTGTGAGTGCTGAGACTGAAACGATCTCTGTAGCACGAAGCTGTTTTCTAAATGTCTAGGAAAAAATGTCTAACAGCTTCTCGTAGTAAAGATGCTTCTCACAACAATCGGTCTTACCAACTCTAAAATATTTTGCAATTTAAAGGACCGCTATTCTACTTTTCTGTTTAATGGAAAGAATGATAAGGGAGGTCTTGCAGATTGGACACTGCTGGAGTACATGTATGTAAATTCCTTCCTTAGATCTAGTTGAAATCTAATCTCTTTTCCTTTAAAGCCATTACCCCTTGTCCTATCACAACAGGCCCTGCTAAAAAGTCTGTCTCCATCTTTCTTATAAGCCCTCTTTAAGTACTGGAAGGCTGCAATAAGATGTCCCCGGAGCCTTCTCTTCTTCAGGCTGAACAACCCCAACTCTCTCAGCCTGCCCGCATAGGAGAGGTGTTCCATCCCTCTGATCATTTTCGTGGCCCTCCTGTGGACCCACTCTAACAGGTCCATGTCTTTCCTGTGCTGAGGGATCCAGAGCTGGACGCATTACTCTAGGTGAGGCTTCACCAGAGTGGAGTAGAGGGGCAGAATCACCTCCCTTGACCTGCTGGCCATGCTTCTTTGGATGAAGCCCAGGGTACAGTTGGCCTTCTGGGCTGCGAGCACACATTGCCAGCTCATGTCCAGCTTTTCATCCACCTATACCCTCAAGTCGTTCTTGGCAGGCTGCTCTCAATCCCTTCATCCCGCAGCCTGTATTGATGCTGGGGGTTGCCCCGAGCCAGGTGCAGGACACTTCACTTGTCCTTCTTGAACCTCATGAGTTCACACAGGCCCATTCCTCAAGCTTGACCAGGTCCCTCTGGATGGCATCCCGTCCCTCAGGCATGTCAACCGCACCACTCAGCTTGGTGTTGTCTGCAAACTTACTGAGGGTGCACTCGATCTCACTGTCTGTGTCAGTGATGAAGACATTAAACAAGTTCATATGGGCCCACTTCTTAAGCTTGTAGGCCTTCTTAGTGGACGGTTCATGTTCCTGTCCAACTTTATTTTGCATTCAGAAGTGAAATGAGTGAATATTTCACAGAAACACTTGAAAGCTTGTTGTCATTCCTGAGGCTTCTTAGTACTCTCCTAAGTGAGATTCAGAAAAGGCAGTTTCTGAGAAGAAGGTTGCTTTCATTTGTTGTTACTTGTTGGAATGGTTTATTCTGCATATCTGCACTGACTCTTCTCATACTCTGTAAAACAATGCATTTGTGGTTTTGGGTGGGGTTTTTTTGTTTGTTTTGGTGTTGGGGTTTTTTTGTTTTGTTTTGTTTTTTTGAGAAAACTTCTGCCTATAAATGCATGTGACTTCCATTCTTTAGGCCAAAATACTTAGAGCAGGGTGAGAGCAAAAACTGTAGGATCTCTGTTGCAATAGTATTTCCATGGCTTGGAAAAGTGGGTAATGAGGATATGTGGGTAGGTAATAGCAGGCTTAAAGCATGCGGTATAGAGCCAGATACATGGCATGTAACCTCATGATCCAGACACAGTAAGCACTGAAGTCAGTAAGATGGACTGGATGTTGATTTGTCTCTGTTATATTAGCATCATATTGCAAGTTTCCTGAAAGCTTTACTGTAACAGACCGAAGTTCTGTCTCGCTGCATTTACACCAGTTTCAGGGATTAAGTTCCTCAGGCCGTATGGTCCATGGCAGCATGGAATTGCATTTACTCCCTGTTTGCTGCTTGAGTCTACTGGCCTTATCTGTGCTTCAGAACAGTTGGTCTGGATCTTCTCTGGACTACATATGTCATCTGCATACATATCACCAGGTCATCTGGGAGTGTTTTTTGAAATGTATTTCAGTATGTTATCTGAGGTATGTGTTGCATGATATGTAAGCGAGGATGGTGCAGTTTTGCTGGAATAGCATCAGAAAATAGCCAAACCTGTTGCTAGTCTTGTCCATACTGCCTACAGAGAGTGAACCCCAGGGTAAATTGTTCCCAGCATTGTGCTTTAGTTGTTAGGTTTTTTTGGGTTGTGTTTTTTTTGTTTTTTGTTTTTTTTTAGGAAGAATACTTTTTGGGAAACATGTTGGTTCACACTGGAATTAGCTAGCATACCTGTAATATGCATGCTTGGAGGCTAGACTTTTGGGGTGAATAAACTAAATTGCACGGTAGCACAGGCATAACATCAGTCTGTTGAAGAACACGTACTGTCAGATTTGATGAGCCTAAAAGAGGAGAAAGGAGTGTAAAATAACATCTGAGAATTTATAGTCTGTTCATGACCTCAGCTAGCTTTTTACTTGGGTTGGGTATTTAAGGTGCCCTTTGATGAGGCTTCCAGTAAGAGCAAGGCAAGTTTGCTCCCTGTGAAATTACCTTTCTTTGAGTTGGTTTGGTGTCCTTTACGTCTCTGGCAAGGTTAATCCTTAAGACAGATAAAGATCTGCAGATGATTGAGTAGACTGTATCTGATGATGAGGCTGTAGTTTGTGTCACTGTAGTTCTTACAGAACACCTTTGTAAAAACCACCTACTGGTAAATGGGTAGATTCTGTTAGGTCCAACCCACATCCTCAATTTCATTGTCTGGTTTGGTGTTCATTGCACATTATTTCAGAACTTTCTCTCTTTGCACCATGCTTACAAAAAAGAAACTAATTCAGAAGTTATGAGGAATTTGCCTCATCAGCTAAGAATCATTTGTCAATAATTGGCTAATGGAATTAAAAGAGTCGGGAGCATTGCATCTCTTTATTTGCAGCATATAAGTGTTTTATTTTAACTATGTAACATGAGGGACTGTGGAGTCAAAATATTTTTGACTGAGGAGCAGTTTCTCCCAAATGCTTGAAAGGATATAAAATGACAGAGGACACGTCAGCCAGGAATAATAGAATATTTTTATCTACAATAATAGAATCTGCAAGATTCTCATCAAGAGCTAATGTCAAGAGTCAAGCTCTAAAGCATATTATGAAATAATAAGACTAGAAGGTCCATGGAGACTATTGAATGTGAATATCTGTAGCTTGTATTTTAAGTTCAGGACAATAAAAAAAGTGTGAAATGGCAAATTTCATCCGAGAAAGTGAAGAGGGCGGTGTAGAGGGACAAAGCAACCTCTTCCCCTCACCCCAGCGGTGCTTGCTGTATAACCATGTGTAGAGTACATCCATGTATTACCAGATCTGGGAGTTGACAGTGGAAAGAGGGGCAGGTAACAACAAAGTCTTCTGGTTGCGTGAACTCACATGGGCACCCCCAGAAATCTATACTTATAGAATTAAAAGGATGTTTGCTTTAAGTGAGGGTAAAGGGCACAGCCGAGAGGGATTTATACAACTAAGTGATGGACCTCAGAGAATCTCAGAGGTTTCTGAAGGACAAACACTGTAACCTGAGATAATGCTTCCTGTATAGCAGTCACTACATTGAAAGATAGTGTCTTGCCAACAATTTGGAGACAGGTTTGATTTAAATGTCATAAACAAATTCCCAATAGTATACTTCTTGTGTAAGGGGTTTTTTTTTAATTTTCTGACTAAATTCCTATGGCATTTTCAGTAATTTTGTGGGAAGACTTGCATTATTTTGCCACTTCATATCTCATATATAGTATCATCTACAGCAGAAAAGCAGTCTTCTGTCTAGTCCTGAAGAATACTAGTACAATGTGGCATTTGTTTGTAGTGTTCTGTGTTAATGAAACTTGAAGCTGATATCCTGGAGTATTGAGTTTATCTTTGGGGAGGTCAAACCCTTAAGAAATATTGAGGTGAATCTTATAATATTATTTCTTACAGCATTTCAGCTTGCCTGGCTTTAGGCGTTTGCAGTACTCTACATCCTACATAGTTAATGTGTGTTTCCTTTATAATTAGTGGAGAGGAGAAGAAAGCACTTGTTCAGCACAATTCAAATCAGATGTAAATACTTACTTTAGGATAAGGTAAATCATGTGCTAGAAGTGTAGCTTGCTTTCCCTTGACGATAGAGGAAGTGTAGAATGACTAATTTGGCTGTAGATGTGTAAACTCCAGTGAGATGCATCTATGTGATCACCAGACCTCATGTATGTCACTAAATGCATCTAGCCAGTAGACTGATGTTGAGTTTTGCATTATGCATGTAAGCACAGAAGGAAATATGAATGTATAAAATGTGTTGGAAAGAGATGTCACAGCGGTCTCTGCTTGTACTGGGATGGAATTTGGCTGTGGTTCCTGTGAAGATCAGACTTGTACCCCTAGACTGCCTTTAGAATGAAGAAACATGTGGGGCTCTGCAAGAAGTTAATAGGTTGCTTTTGCTTTTTTCTTCTTAACTTTTTCCTATGCTTAACTCCTGTAGCAGACTTGATGTCTGCTATGTCTTATGTGCCATCATTGTTCAGCTCCTTCCCACCTTTACCCTTCGCTTTCCAGCCATTGCTGTCTTGTGTTGTGTGTATAAGAAGATGAGAGGCTCTGGAAGAAGAAGAGAGAAGTTATATTTGGGTTAGCTTGTGCAGTCATCTTACCTGCACATACAGATTATCCAGCTCCTAGTTTGAATCAGAGTAGTGTTTTAGAGGAGTATACTTTATCTGTTATGGTTCACATGTAATTATTAATAATCTTATCTTTTCATGTATGTGTTGAGAAAAATTCTATATGGGGTGTTTTGTTATTAGATCAACTAACAAGCATTATGAAAGTTTGATAAATATATTACACACATATTTAGACATTATGTCAAATGCTCATTAATCAAAAATTCTGTGTGTACATTGTCAGTTCCTTGTTTTTTATGCCTCCTACTCAAGCTTGTTCATGGTATTCTGAGAAGGAAACTTGTAAGTTTTCTTGAGGGTGGGGTGGAGGAGGCAGGGACAGGAAGGATGAAGTATTCAGTTATGAACATATTGTGCTAAGGTTACTTTGAAAATATTTTTATTTTGCAATAGAAGTGGGTTGATGGTGGCCTTACCAATGGCCTTCCTATCTTGCCTGTTGGAAGAACTGTGACGATTTCTCCTTTCAGCGGTCGATTAGATATCTGTCCACAAGATAAAGGACGTGTGGATCTTTATGTTAAATTTGCAAAACAAGATACAATGGTGAGTTGCTTGTTTATTAAATAACTTCAGAAGAAGAAAAGGTAGTTGAGCAGTTAAGATTATGCATATTTTTCAGTGTTTATTATCTGCATGTATATCAACTTAAGTCATGTTTTGGCATTTTCTGTTTTGCAAATGGAGTTTAAACTTTTTCTTAAACACAAGGGAAGGCAAATGTAGAATAAATTTTGTCAGAAAGGTTGAAAAGCATTGATCTAATACAAAATTGAGCAAATTACCACAGGCTGGTACATGTAAATAATAGAGGCTTGCTTTTTAAGTATCGGCTGTCTTGGCTAGGGAGAGTGTTTATAGAAAAAAAAAGAAATAAGACTTCTGTAGAATACCTCAGGAGAGGGAAACTCTAGAACATCCCTTCATACCTACTAAAATTAGCTGCTCTAACTGAATTTAAAATACAAGTTTGTCATACATTTGTCACCTCATTGCTCAAAAGAGCTTGTGTTAAGATTTTGAACGTTTGTAACAACAACGTTTTTCCAGAATTTATTTTGTTAGATGTTACAGAAACATTTCTGTATATTGAAAGATGGGCTAAGAATTATTTTTATGGCCTCCTTTTCACCACTGACATTTCTGTCTTTGGAAGCTTTGTCTCACAAACTTTAACTACAGTATTGCTTCCTTTGACATGATGAAAGAAAATACTGAATAGCAGTAGACCTAGCTGTCAACAAGACTCCATTAGAAAGAAAAAAATAAAGACTAGCAATAATTGGTAATTTTTTTTAAAAGATTCTTTTAGACAATTCTTAATATGTTTTCCTAATTTGAGTAATGTAATCCTACAATGTACAAATTTATGAATCTTCATAATGTTTCACAGATTTAAAGCATGATAGCACTTGGTAAACGATCATAAAGCATGAGATTATTGATTTCATATGTACTGAAAATAGACGCAATCATGTACTGTATATTTCTTGGTTGTGATTTGTATCTAGTGCATCTAGAGGAGGAAAAATGAGCTGGTGATTAGACTAGTTTAGAGATAGAGAATTAATTGTAGAGTTAACGTTTTTCCTAGGGTCCTCCAAGTGCAGACTTGTGCAAAATCTCAGGCAACATTTTAAACTATTCCATTTGAAGCACTTTTAGCTTCTAGAGCCGTAAAAATGTGAACTAAGAATAAATTTTTTTCATCGATATTGTCATCTGCATAAAATGAAGACTTGTATATCTTATCTGGACTGGAATGTGAACAGTTTTCTGTCTTTCTGAACGTCCTACATCTGTTTAGTGTCACAATTTGAATAATTGCTTACTTCGAATAATGAAGGTGATTTTGATAATGTTTTTCAAAATTGTGTATAATAAATAATGTGGCTAAAGTATTAAATTAATCATGTAAATTAAGTGTTCAGAACTTTATAATTAGATTTAATAAATTTTATTGTAAAAAATTTAATAATGTCTTTACTGAAGAGCAGAGTTCTGAAATCTTTTTACACTATCAAAGTGACCACTTGAGATGCTGAGTAGTTCTTAATTTGTTGGTAATACAAGCTACGTTTATACTCATATGTTAAACATTGCCTGGGAATGTTCCTAAGAATGTGGTGGTTTGCACTAGTAAGCTCTCAAAATATTTCCTTGGACAAGTTTAGCATGTGCCAGCTACCACTCTGCCAGACAGTTCTGGGAATGTTTGCAAAGTTACAATTTTTCTGAAACTTTGGGCAGTTTTACAGGCAGACAGTCTGTCTTGGAGGCTGTGAGTTTAATAGTGTATATGCAGGCCGTTTGTGCCAGTTTGTCTTGGCGCTCAGCAATGTACCTGGACATGGTTAATTTACTGGGGTAGACATAGCTGTGCTGGTCTTTTGTTTTTACATATGGTACATGAAACAGATGACAGAACAGATAGTAACACAGTCAAGTCTAGATAAGTTGCTTTAATAAACTAATTTATAGTTTCTCGCTCTGTTGCAGCTGTCTCTGGCCAACCTAGTAAGACTTAATCAAGCTCTGTTCCCACCAAACCAGGAGAAAATGGAATCGTTGTACCAAAATGGATTTGATGATGCTGTACAGTTTTTACTGAAAGAAAACTGGTTTGAATAGGTGGTACATAAAAAAATTAACAAAACCTGATGACTGTCAAAACACTGCTACAGGCATCCTACAGAATCTAAGGGATTTCTGTCCCAATTCCAGTTTATGGAAATAAAAATCCCAATTCCCAATAGAATTGCATCTGCTTCTGCCGAGAAAGTATCAGTTGTACTCCAGAGACCTATATAAACATGTCAGAAAGGGAATTGTACTTGCCTGGTAGTTCTCTTGTTTTGAGGAGGTTCAAGCTTAGATCCATTTTGCTTCAGCTGAGGACTTGAGTGTGGGATTTGTAAAACGCTTGTGTTGTCATAATTGCAGAAATTTGGAAAAGTCTTTTTTGATGTTATTTGAGAGACAAATCAAGGTTCTACCATGAAAAATTACAATCTGTATTGTTCACTTAATGTAATAGTCATGCGTGCTAATTGGATGCTTGCAGTATTGCTGATCTAATACATATCTTGCAGTGTTCTAAAGGACCTGAACACTTAGCACTAGCCACAAGAAATAAAACATTTGCACTCTTTTACTCTATGTGTATTTTTTAACATTAAAAATTCTTAACTTTTTCAGCGAATGTGGGCTTTTAAAATTTGAAATATTAGTTGAAATTTGTAACAGCTGTGTGATGTTTGAATGTAAAAATATCTTGTAAAGAAGGGTGTAACAAATTGTTGTATTTATTATGTTTTCTTCCTCTGCTAAAACTGAATAAATATATTTTCTTGAAACTTCTGTCAAGAGGTCATTTGTAAATTTTTCAGAATACTCTAACAACCTGATTATCTGCAAAAAAAGCAGACTGTTGGAGAGAAGCTGAAGTCAGCAGGTAATGCACTCAGACTCACATATCTCATTCTTTTACCAGTCACCTTGCATTGACTATCTTAAGTGCAAGTTCAGGATTTTCATTCTTAATGCCTAAATCCTAAAATCCACAACTATTTATTTAAAAGTAAACAGTGTTTGTAGCTTTAAGTTTATTTGAAGTTGATTTCTTAATACTTAAATAAAAATTGGAGGTTGAATTAAACATGCATGAAATCACACATTTACATGAAATTCCCCAAAACCAACAGAAAATCTGAAGAGGTGAGAAAAAAGGTTTATTTGACAATCTGCTATAGCTTTTGAAAGGCTTTTCAGCACATAGCCACCAGATTTATATTAATATGTAGGTTGCATCAGATTAGGATTCATGTGGCAGGGATTGAATTCTTTTATTACTGTTTTGGATAATGAAAGAATTTAAAAATTTTAAAAATGCCGTTGGAAAACACATTACTTTCATTTTAGAACAACAACTCTTTCTAAATGCATGAGGTTCTGTATACAGTGAAAACAGGACAGCTGGCAAGGTTTCCAGATCTGTAGGACAGCATTTTTGCATGTAAAACTCAAAGAAGTTGCCTTTCTTCTACCAAGCCGCCTGTGCCTGGCTGACTTGCATACTCATTTATACAGAGGGCAACTTCCAGCATGAATAGAAATAGTAGATAATGCGATTAAGGAATTCTCTTTCACACCGACGTGCGAAGTTTCTGATTCAATGGTAATACCTCTTTTGGCACTCTGGTGGAAACTTGAAACAGCTTTTTTTCACTCAGCATTCTGAGGGCTTGGAGCTACTCACAAGCTTTCAGGTATGGCGTGCATCTTCTGACCGGTTACACTTCTGAGCAATGATGGCGCTGTGTATATTTAGCGAGCCTGTACAAAGCTTGTTTTTCTGGATGCAGTTTTTTAAGAGTTGCTTTTAGAGGAGAAGGTTGTTAAATGTGAAGTAATAATAATATAATAATATAA